ATCGCCGAGGAGGGACAGCTGGTCAGCAGCAGTTGGATTGATAGGTTCGGAAGAAGGTTCAGGTGATGGTTTGCACGCTTCTAAAAACCGGCTGATGATCGATCGGCTATCTTCTTGCAAGGGTGACAGTAGGTTTGGGGTGGAATCAATTTGGGTCATGGGGTGGTCAGAATCCGGGCTGGGTTGGGAAAGGTCAATGGTGAGGGAGGGTTGGGAGGAGGTGGAGTCAATAGGGGAAGATGTGTTAACATCGGAAGGTGAGGAGAGGGTCGAGGAAGGGGGGCTTGCGGGACTTCTGGGGCGGTTCACAGGGGGCGATTGGATTGGGGTGAGCGGTTGGTGGTCATGCCGGTGCTTGTCTAAGTGCCCTTGCTTCTCGGCAGCCGATAGGGAGAGTTCACATACGGCGCAATGGTAAACCATCTCTAAGGCATACTCGGGGTGCTGCCGTTTGAAATGGGTGATAAAGCCACGTTCTGTCATCACATGTTTCGAATGATGCTTGCAGAGAGGGCATTTAAGGTTTTGATGCCGAAGGTGCAGTTCGAATGAAACAGTGATGGGATCCTGGTCCAATGGGAGAATGTGGTTGAAACTCTCGATGTGAATCCGTTGGTTGCGCAGGGATGCGAAGGTGTTGGCGCATGATCCACAGCCCAGCTTGCACTTCTTAGTTGGTTTACTTGCCGAGGGGTTACCTTTAGGATCCATCGATGCCATAGAGCAAAAGGAAACTCAAGGAGAAAGGCTCTTAAAGGTTGGGACAGCTTGTCCGATAAAGATACTTAAAAGGGGATAAACATACACTTCTGGTGAAACCAATGGGCATGAAATGTTGTGTTTTAGTGGCAGAAAATCGAAAAGCTAAATCCAAGCTAGGAGCGACCCCTATTCACAACAAATAGTGTCCCTCTAGAATTTCCTCAAACTCTGCAAGCGCAGAGGAGACCTAGCTTGGCAACTATTTTGCCCGATATTCGTGAACACCGTAGTCAAGGCACGGATGTACTAGTCCGGGCCACAAATACCGCGAATATAGCTTTGTGGGTCGAGGTCACACATATAGTTGACTGCCACTCGGAGATATTCGAAAAGGCACAGCAAAATAGTTGGTTCCGAACTCTCAAACGCGGCGTGAGCCGGGGAGAAACATACTGCTAAAGAGCCGAAAATCAAAACAAACAAACCAAATTCTGAATAAATTAAGACCTTGAACTCGGAGCGAACCTACCGCAGTAGAAGTAGGTTAACTATATTTAACTCAAACCTTCGGATAAGGGAAACCGAGAACAAGAAATTGTATAGAAAGTATCGTTTGAATAGCCTCGCGGGAAAAAACCTTGCGGATCAAGGGAAAAACACGGCACTAAACGAACCTCACATACTATACAATTTAGCCGGAAAATACTCAAACTCGGATGCGAAATCCGAGGAATTAAAAATTTAGATAAACACAACACGAGGCGAGAAAGCGTTCCTAAAGAAACAACCAAGTGTTATGAGGAGACCAAAAGGCGAACTGAGTGTCTCTAAAAGACCTCTCAGTATACTTGCACAATAATGTTAAGTATCTCTAAAAGACCACTTAACTGTGGCTGCGCCGATGGCTGAGTAGCGTTTTTTAGGCGTTCAAATAAATTGAACCGGACAGTAAACAAACTGTGCCCTAAATTTGCCAGCGATCACTTAAGAACAAATGCGGCTACACTTGATCTTATTTTGAGTTGAACGACGATGGGCTTATCGACTCCGACGGTGCAATGGAGCCTGGACCCGTGCAATCGCCGCACCCAAGGGGGCCACTACTTAGTGACGCAGATCGTCAGAGGGTATGATCCTCTCCCCTGTGCCATGATGCAACACGTGAATGGTACGATGAATGACAGTGATGATGGTGAATTACACGATCAACGCGAGCAACCCAACCTAAAGACACCGGTGCAGCTCGTCCTCAAACGAACTACACTCTAAAAATTCACCTAAAAGGTGGTCACCTGTGCAGCCCAATCAAACCAAAGACCGATCGAACCACAGGCCAAAATTCATAGTAGAAATCTCAGCTGACAAAAGTCAGAAGAGATGCGCAATAAACATATTACAACATATCCCCGAAGATGACGGCAGTACTTTCCCATAAGGCGACCGCCGCATCCACGAAGAACAAAAAAGGACAAAGGACACGATACATCTACAAGAGAACGGCAGTACTTTCCCATAAGGCGACCGCGGCGCTTGCAGAGAACGACAAAAAGGGACAAAAGGACGAAGTAATTATTTTAAAAATTCGCTGAATTCAATGGAATCTCCATGCGTAATGATGCCGAAGACATTACCAGCAAGCCATTGATCGGAAAAAAGCTGTTGTAAACAGTGCCGCTTTTGGATCTTTAAATTAAAACGCAGTGTGGATTTGGTCTTATCTCGTGAGTTCACAAAGTCCGGTTTTATTCGATCAAATCGAAAGGAGTTCCTAGCTACCCATATTTGGTGGCGAATAATTCCCAAAAGACAAGAAAAGACTAGTGGGATATGGGTGGAGGTAGTATAGCCAAGGAGGATTTCACTTGGAGATGGTAGTGGACAAAGTGGATTGTATTGCCTGATGATAGAGTGATACCATCTTAATAACTGGAGAGCAAACGGGCAGGCAGTAAAGAGATGAATCAACGTCTCTTCTTTACCACAATGACATCTGGAGTTGACGTTCATACCAAAACGGATTAAACGGTCAGCAGTTGGTAAAATACCGTGAGCTATAAGCCAGGAAGTAGTTCTGACATTTCTGACAAAGCGCCAAAGAAGAAGGTTACGCCATACTGTGGGCCAGTCGCAAGACAGACCCCAGCCTCGATATTTCTCGACACAACGATGTTGCGTACGTTCTCTTGTCGCCAAGGTGTCGTAAACGTACTTGGCGGATAATGATGATAGCTGGCATGAATTGTTTTTTCGCCCTTCGATGATAAATTCCCCATCTACGTATTTCCTGGCATGTTGTAAAACACGGACTGGACTGCATTTGTAAAACACGGACTGGACTGGACTAGACTCAAAATCTGTAAAACGCGGACTCAAAATCTGTAAAACGCGGACTCAAAATCTGTAAAACGCGGACTCAAAATCTGTAAAACACGGACTCAAAATCTGTAAAACACGGACTCAAAATCTGTAAAACGCGGACTCAAAATCTGTAAAACACGGACTCAAAATCTGTAAAACACGGACTCAAAATCTGTAAAACGCTAAGTTTGAACTAAGAGCGGGTCTGGCTTGCATGGTTAATGATTCTTCGTTTGATTTGAAAGGAAATTAACTGCAGGGTCTTCATATTTCATTTGGCAGTTTTCACACCTTTCTGGCGGCTATACTATTACTTCAGTTCAGAGTGTTAGCAAGATTCCCAAGTAACTACACCAAATTCATAAATATTATATAATGCGTTCTAACCCATAGATAAGTTATTTCAATTTTAAAGATTTTGTTTTTAAGTAGCTATTACCAGTTTCGTACAGGCTGTAACCTTAAATTGTAACAGCTTATATTATTTCGTATCCGGAAATACAAACTGTCAAACAGCTGCGTTCATGCGACGATTGTGTATGATAGTCTGTCGTGTATAGTCTGGACTTAAAACCAAGTTACTTCAGTGGTATACTTTAAAATGGCAGGGAGCTTTAAGCTCCCGAAAGTTGTTTTAAAACAAAAGGATTTAGAGCTTCCGATTTCAGAGTTGTTGCCGATTTGCGTAAAGGATATAGTTACTGGGCTAGACTATTTGCACCACAACAACATTGTTCATCGTGATCTTAAACCGAGCAATATTTTGGTTTGTAACCAACATTTGAAAGGCGTTGCTCATGACGAGGCTGCGATGGGCAGCGCGTATGAAAAATGTCCTATCGTATGCCGTCTTACCGATTTTGGTCTCAGCCGTGGAATCGACATCCAAACTAAGTCAGTTGTTACGTCGAAGACAAATTCCATTGGTTGTGGTACTCCTGCATATATGGCTCCAGAAATGCAGCTTAACCAACTCGATTTCGCAAGCCAGGAAGACATGAAGCGTGCAGATATGTGGTCTTTAGGGCTTGTATGCGATGATGAATCCGGAGCTTCGTAGTCCATATCGGGCAGAATTAGAGGAATCCGGAGTTCCAGATACTCAGGCCACATTAAAAAATTTCTTAGCTAAACGTCAACTACCTAAACATGGGACAAAGTACGAACATTTGAGGGTAACCTCGTGGTGGCAATTAGAAGAGGTTTTCAAACAGTGCGCTAATTTTGACGCGGTTGCAAGACCTTCTACAGCAAAGGTTCTTTGTATTTGTCGAAAGAGTTTAGTAAACTATTTTCATCGCCTGCCATTGAGTGTAAGCCAAACCACGATATTGGAGCAATATGACACTTGCCTTGCTCTAGCTTTAGAAGAAAACGAGGTAGGGCAAACACCTGAACATGTTTCACCTCCAACAAATGACGCAACCAACTGTTGTGCGTTTCTTTCACTCGGAATTTGTGACGGACTATTACACAACGCTGAATTCCGTAAGATACCAACCTGGGAACGGGCACGTGAAATTATCCAGGACGTTATTCTTAATCTTCCCTCACATGTGAATAACCACAGGGATGCTAGCAGATTTTACGATATTCAAGAAGCCCAATCTATTCTTTCAAACAACAATTTACTGCTGGAGAAATACAAACTTTCTGAAGAATGTGTGTCAGCAAGCAAAGTATTTTCTACCGCCGCAAGAGAGGAAATCCTAAGAAGTTTAACAACGAAGGCATCGCAAGGGAAAACATGTATGGGAGCTTACAATTGCAGCCCCTACATATTCACTGTTGGAATTTGCAAAGACGCTTTCTTTCTCGTTGACACTCATCCTGTGAATGAAAACCTTGGAGGAAATGGAAACGGTGTTTTAATGGTAACTCCAGATTGTAGCTATGAATCTTGCAAATCGGTCGTTCAATGGTTCTTACTACGACTAAAAATGGCAGGGGTGAAAAGAGATCAGAAGCAAAGCTTAGTTTGGGTTACGCCATATGAAGGTTAGTACAAAATTATGTCTTATTTAGCTAACATTTTATTGTGAGTGGCTCCTTATATTTTTAAAAATAATAAAACGCTAGTTTTGGACGCTTTAAATTGCCATTTGTAAACAACCGTTTACAGAAGTGCAAACAATTCAGGATTCTTCTGAAGAAACTAAAGAAGAGGAAATGGAACATTCACGTGTGAGAGGAATTACAAACTCTGAAAATGAAACAAGCAAGGTGAGAACATAACTAATTTAGACGAATTGTCTTCAAAAACAGCCCGAGACCGGGGGACGTTTTTGAGCCCATGCTCAGGTAAATATTTCCCTATACAGACCGACTAAACTGGTAAATAATAGATTTCTCTTTTTTAATTCCCGTTTAATGCTTTTAAAAATCTCGCGCGGTCCGTATATGGCGTCATACGGACATATTATACGGACATACACGGATATATGCATTCATGTACATATATATGTATAAATACTATATGCATATTTATATACATTATTAATATATATACATAATATATAGAATAGAAGTAAACCAAGACAGTAAAAATTTCAAAACATATAGATTACTGTACAGTTTCGTATGTGAAGCTATGCTTACACAGCTTCACGTACGAAACTGTACAGTAATCTATATGTTTTGAAATTTTTACTGTCTTGGTTTACTTCTATTCTATTAACGCTCTAGGCTGGCCCTATTGAGCACTCTAGTCGTTTATGTATTCAATATTTTTTGTAAAATTAGTTGACAAGAAATGACAAAAGAGATGCAGAAAGTCGGGAGCTAAGCAATCTGGGTGAATGTTCAGAAGTTCGACAAGGTATTGTGAATGTATGATATCATTTTTTGTGTTTCCACTCATTTAAAGTTATTAATAACTATTCAGCTTTCCGGGGGGCAAAACGTATTTCAGATGAATTATGAATATTATCTGCCGTTAAAGTGATTAAAATTGGAGATGCAACACTAATAATTAAAATATTTGCTGGCTGCATTTCGTAACTCGCAAGGTAAACTAGCTGTAAAGAAATTCAGCTCACGGAAAGGTTCTACAAAAAGCAGCTGCATGAACCAGCGACTTTCAAGTGTTTGAGTGGTTAACAATGGTTTTAATTAGCAACTCACAACTCATCTGTTCTCAGAGGTGACATCTTTTTAACAGAGATTATGAAAGACCATGATCACAGTAAAAGAGCGAGATATTCACTTGAAACTGATGGTGTGGAGGAGATACGTGTAATAAATACGACGAATGACGAAAAAAGTGATGAAAACAAAGTAAGCATATATAATTAACAGAACATCATTCTCAAAATTCAAATCAAAAAGCTAATATTAAAGTAATTACACGATCGTTGACTTACTGTATTTCTATTTTAACAGTTCGAGAGAAGCGCTATGCAACGGACATACGAACGTGATAGTATCCAGGAAGCGATTACTGTTGATCTAATTGGTATGATGCAGCATGGCCTGCCAACCAGGTTTCGCCCCGCTTCAGCCTGGGTTAATGCCAGTTAACGGCAATCGTCGACCTGGCTTTATTTCGCCATATGCTGTTCAACCATCACCACCAGTCGATCCACTTAACCATGCACAAGTTAACCCTCTTGCAACACATCAAGCTAATCAGCGCAGTCCAGCAAGACAAAAACCAGTTCCAGGTTCATTCGCATTTGCGAGACTTCCATACCTTGATAGTCGAGTATCACGCTGCTATGGCTGCGGTGAATTGTTAAAGCCTGGAAATGTTATGCCTTCTCCACCACACGATTTAGTACTGACTACTAGACTGAATCGGAAATACTACAAGGACGGACAGTTGCAAACATCACCAAGTATCTCATCCGTTTATCTTCATGTTAACTTGTACTGTGCACGAACAGCTCTTCCTCAGTTTACACCAGCTTTGTGCCATTTACCAAGCGATTTAATTCCGTTTCTTCAGAAAGAACATTACAACCTCATGCTGACGAAATTGGGTATAAATTTTGCACTTTAGAGTCGTTCTATTTCTCGAGTCATATTCAATATTTCTCTGGCACAAAATCAATTATTGAAATCTTGGCGAACCAGTGGTTTTTATTACTGATCTATGTATTGACTGAAAAAATGATTTCGACGCTACGCATGGGCGACGTAAAAGCCTTACCATATTAGACGTGCGAAAGCACTACCTGCATGCTGAAAATTAATCTATTTCTAAATTGTTTAATTTTGTTTCGTTATGTTACTGTTGTTTCGTTAAATATTACTACAACGTACAATGCTTCATTTGAAGCAATGGATTATGCTGGTACAGCAAGCCAGTAAGCAAACTATTTCAGTAGTTGCTTTTCTAAGTAGAACAAATTTATTTTTTATGTAATAATAAACTGTTTTCTGCGTTTACAGCACCGGACTTTAAGGTGATGTTACACGTAACAATTTTCAACATCAACTCGCAACGCAGTAATAAACAAAAATTTGAACAATGCATGCTGTGTGGATTAAACAGTCATAAACTTTCTACTCGTTTCATAAAAACTGCTCATATAGCTATATACCATATTCAACGCGTAAACCTTTTTCAAAAACATCAGTTATCGCGGCGTTGCAAGTTGATGTTGAAAACGTTTTCGTGTAACATTTAATTTACCTTTCAACAATGGGAAAGTAAATTAACGTAAAAAATTTAGATTGCTCTTAAATTGAATATAACAAATGATCATCATGTAGTACAACTGATTGTCGAGTCCGTGTTTTACAGATTTTGAGTCCGTGTTTTACAGATTTTGAGTCCGTGTTTTACAGATTTTGAGTCCGCGTTTTACAGATTTTGAGTCCGTGTTTTACAGATTTTGAGTCCGTGTTTTACAGATTTTGAGTCCGTGTTTTACAGATTTTGAGTCCGCGTTTTACAGATTTTGAGTCCGCGTTTTACAGATTTTGAGTCCAGTCCAGTCCAGTCCGTGTTTTACAAATGCAGTCCAGTCCGTGTTTTACAACATGCCGTATTTCCTTGGCAAAACAAACCAAGATTCTAATACTGAGCGGTAAAAAGCAGGTAAAGCGTCCATAGCATATTTAGGAGGAAACTGGAGAGATAAAATTTGAACGATAGTACGTCCCGGAAAGGCGCGCCGTAAATACATTGAAAATAAGATAGCCTATGGAAGGTTCGGATGTTGGAAATATCGCTTAACACATAACACGTGTAAGGAGGATATTTTTCGTTTGAAGTCGATGACTCCAAGACCTCCAAGAATAGATCGCTGTGTAACGGATGTTCGGGCAAGCCATTCCCGTTTTTTCTGCCAGACAAAGGTAAAAACTTTAGAGTTTATCTCTTTTACCGTATTAATTGGAACACAACAAAAGGACACCAAATACCAAAATATGCTTAGACCCAACGTGTTTGAAATAAGAGCTCGACCGTGGTAGGACAACTTCCTAGTTTGCCAGGTCGAAAAGATTGAGGAGAGACTCTCAATCTTAGATGACCAATTTTGGGACTCTGAGTTGCCAAGGGAAGAACCCAACACAGTGATCGATGTGCTAGACCAATCCAAAGGAATGGGTAAATCATTCCTATTTCTCCATGATCCAAACAGTAGACCGTGCGATTTTTTTGCGTTAAGCTTCGCACCGGAGGCCAGCTCGTAACGGTGGAAGAGAGAAAACAGGGCTTCTAAGGCACCAAAGGAACTAACGACAACACGAGATGGTATTGGTGTGCGAATTTCCATTAGCACATTCCTGGTCCCAACGTAAACATTGTATAAACTTTCCATCTTCGTGTGAAGAATCGTACCGTAGGGACGTAGGGCATCCCGAACAGCCTCATCTGGGATACCATAACTCAATCTGGTAACATTCACCCACTTTGATGTCTTACAATGTTTGAATGTTACAGGCTTTCCTCAAAAGGTCAAGCCAGAATGACAAAACTCCTCAGATGCGACTTCCGAGCGACAAGTCACTCAAACATGACGTGGTGAGAAGAGCACAAACGCTTCTAAAAGACGCGAAAAATTGTCTTTTAATTGTTCGTGAAAATCCGTCATTATACCTTTGACGGTAACTCTGGCTTTGCCTGCATCACCAGGTAAACCAATCTCAACCGTTCGATTCGCAAAAGGAATCTTCATGGTTTAAGAATAAGGGGAAAACACACAGAAAGGTGTCCAGCGAAGACTGTCCTTTGCCCACCAAATAAAAGGGACCAGCAGAGACTAAACCTCTGCCCCCTGAGAAAATATAGAAAAGGGTTCTGCAGAGACCAATGCTCTGCACCCCAAAGAAAGAAGGAAGACAAATAAGGAGTTCGGCAAAGGAAGTCCTTCGCCCTCCAAATAATCAGAAAAGAATAATAATAAAAAAATTTTAGCCTACAGGAAGTCCAGCAAGGCTAGCCCTTGCCCTTCCTGATAAATCTCAAACACTTTAGGGTACCAGCCCGAACACCAGCTAACAACACGAGCCGCGAGACGTGAGCCACGAGACGAAAGCCACGAGACACGAGCCACCAACGAGAGACCAGGGCTCCCAAGAGCCGACTGGCCCCAAGGCCACGACACCACCAAGCCAACCACGAGGGAGACCAGCAGCGGAGGCAGGAGACCAGCCAGAGACCAGAGACACCAGAGCCAAGACCTCCTTTTCTTTGCTTCCTCTTCTGTGCTTCTTCTTCTTTGCTTCCTCTTCTTTGCGTCTTCTTCAGAGCGAGATTTCGGAAATATTATCTTAGCCAAAAGGCCGAGAAAGGGACGAGCGCGAACGCAGGTCCCCACTACCAGAAATTATACGCTTGAGTTACCCACATTAGGGGTAATCGCAGGAGTCAACCCAGTCGAAGTGCAATGAAAGGGCCTCATCCTGAGAGGACCTCCTAGTTGATCAAGGTGCCTCTCGCGTCAGGTAAGTATGCTTTTGTGGCAGCGCCGTTGACTTATAATTGTGGCGACGAAGCGTTTCGATCGCGGTCGTTAACCGCCGCCGCGTTACTAGCACTAGTGAATAATATTCCGATACAAGTACGTACGTACGCCGTTTCGGTTACCTGAATGCGGTGGCTGTTCGTAACTGGTTTCCCGATCGATCGAGGAGTCCGGCGACTGCGGCAGTTCTTCATACACTGAGCGAGTTTTCATCAGTGTTACTGAATTCACATTAAATTTTTGTTTCGATTCAAATGATTTGATTCTTCCCCTCGCGTTGAGGGAAAGAGGGCCGTACTCGGATGTAGTGCAATACCGAGACAACCCGTGGCCAGGGCGAAGCAAGCTTCAATCCCAGGGCCGAAGGCCAAAAATCAGTTTAATATATGAGTTAGGCATTGCCTAACATATCAGATATTAAGCTGATAAGAACAGATACTACACTTGATCTTATTTTGAGTTGAACGACGATGGGCTTATCGACTCCGACGGTGCAATGGAGCCTGGACCCGTGCAATCGCCGCACCCAAGGGGGCCACTACTTAGTGACGCAGATCGTCAGAGGGTAACCTCTCCCCTGCCATGATGCAACGCGTGAATGGTACGATGAATGACAGTGATGATGGTGAATCACACGATCAACGCGAGCAACCCTGAAAGATCAGTGCAGCTTGTCCGCAAACAAGCTACACTCTAAAAATTCACCGTAAAGGTGGTCACCTGTGCAGTCCAGTCGAACCGAAGTCCAACCAACCACAGGCCAAAATTAATTGGACAGGACTGTCCACGAGACAGATTACAAGACAATACATCTTCGAGGCCGACGGCAGTACTTTCCCATAAGGCGACCCCCGTGACCACGAAGAACAAAAAATAAAAAATTATTTATCAAGCTATGAATTCGATGGAATCAACTGGAGTAATGAAGCCAAATACTTCACCAGCGAGCCATTGTTCAGAAAAATGTTGTGCTAAACAATGACGACGTTGAATTTTCAAAGTGAAGCGAAGGGTGGATTTAACCTTGTCCCGTGAAGCGATAAAGTCAGGATTTATGCGATTGAAACAAAGGAGTTTCTAGCAAGCCATATTTGATGTCGTATGACTCCTAGGAGACAAGAAAAGACCAATGGGATATGTCTGGAGTCAACATATCCAAGTAGGATCTCACTAGAAGATGGCAATGCAGATAATGGATTATATCGCTTGATGATAGAGTGGTACCAACGTATTAACTTTAGAGCAAAGGGACAGGCTGTAAAGAGGTGAATAATGTCTCTCTTTGCCACAATGACAACGAGCGTTGACGTTTATACCGAACGGATCAAACGGTCAGCAGTTGGAAGGATGCCGTGAGCAATAAGCCATGATGTGTTTCGGACGTTTCTAATAAAACGCCATAGAAGTAAGTTACGCCAAACTGTAGGCCAATCACATGACAGACCCAGTTGCGATATTTCAACACAACGATGTTGTGTGCGTTCGCTCATTGATAGAATGTCATAAACGTATTTGGCAGATAATGATGATAACTTACAAGAATTGTTTTTGCGTCCTTCTATAATAAATTCTCCGTCGACATATTTTCTTGGCAATCTAAAC